GGAGAGAAAGGGGATAATTGAAATAACAAAGACCTAAAATTGATGAGAGGAAAGGGATTGACTTTAGGTTAGAGAAAGAACAGTTTCTCCATTTTAACAGGATTGAAGGCCACCTGAATGGATATGGATATCAAGGATGTACAGGATATAACAGTGAGAAGAGGAAACTGAATCATGGTCCTTTCAGTTTTCTTAGAAGCCGTATCTTAAACTCAGATAGATTACATGGGAAGAAATGTTGAAGAGTTGAAAAGAAGCAAAGGCACCTCTGTTAGTAATACCATAGAGCTGAAGCATGAATTAATAAGGGAAACATGATAAGATGGTCAGGGGACCCACTTGAGGGTCTCTATCATATCACTAGTTTCGCCAGCAATGTAATATCCTGTATTTTCTCTAGTTATAATCATCTCTTCAATACTAAGAGCAAGTTCATAAAGGGAAGACAGCTGATCTTAACTAGGTGATTCTATTTTTGTCACACTGATTCGAAGAAGAGAGAGAAAGGCCTTTTAGGTGAGTGTACCTGCAAGGGAGAGACTATCATGATGAATGATGGGCCTTACACTGGGTGAGTGGGGAAGCGTGACCATGAGTGGGGTGTGTGAACAATGTGTAGAGGTCAAGAAGCTTCTTGTTTGGTGAAGTGTGTGATCTAAACAATTTGAAGACTTGTGTTGTAAAGGTTCTTTAAGGCTTCTCTGCACCCTGCTGATCCTGCTTGCCCTTGTGATGGTGGAACCTGGGACACCTTTCCAGTCTTTTTAATGATACTTTGTCTGGTCAAGTTTGCACACTTTCGTAGTTCAGTCTTGCTAATTTACAATTTTGAGGGGAATTATCTACATCTTTGGTTTTTTTTTTTATCATTGCCTAAATTTTCACCTAGATTCTCTTATAATTCTTACAAATTCCCAGTTAAGTTTTTTTCCTATATCTTCACAGAGATATATCTGAACAGTTTTAGAGAACTTTTTGCACTTTCAGACACAGCTGATTTGAGTATAAGACTCAGTGGTGACTACCTGATGGATAGATAGCCTAAGAGTGGTTGAGTGAACTTGTTTCAATAACTCATCTGCTTTACTGAAACAGAATGACTAAGTCCTCTCATCATTTTAGGAACTCTTTTGGTCATGTGATACTGCTTTATTATATAGTTCAACCCATGTTAGAGAAAAATAGAAATTCATTTTTCATTTGTTAAAGGAGTGAATTGGTAGCTGCATGTATTTTGAGAACTGCAGTTCAGCATGGGTGTGACGGTTCAAAACTGGAGTGGTGTTGTTATGTATAAAATAATTCTAAGTAGAATTGATGTGATTGTCAGTGGGGTTTCATTGTCTTTAAAAAAAGGTCAAACTTTATATGGCAGCTTCATCTTTCCTGCCAGATTTATTGGCTCCAGGCCTTTCCCTTTAGTGGGGAAACTGTCCTTCAGCATAAGTGATGTTTTTGCCGGTTGTAGGCATATTCATTATGCAACACTACATTTTGAGAGGCAGTAACAAATGCAATCAAACTATTGTACTGAACTTAAAAATCTTATCGCTTTAGAAACACTGAATGGCAACTTCCGATTTTTTTCATTTATGTTCATATACTGATGTGAGTCATGCTTCCAGCCAAGCAGAAGTGATCAGCTTGGAAGGGGTTTGAGGGGGAGTGTCTCGAATTCTGTAATTCTGGAATAAGTTTATTCTCAAAACCCAGCATTTGCCAGAAAGATTTTTTAAAGACAGGAATAAGATAAGGATATTTTAACTTAAAGAAGTTATATTTCCGTAGAGCTAATCATTGCATCATTCATTAAAAATAACACAAGCTAATCTGATAGCTCACTCACGCCTACTACTGACGTGTGACCTTTAGTAACCTCAGTGAAGTCTAGCGTGACTATTGGTAAACCATGCCAACGAGAGCTTTGTATCTCCCTGACCTACTAAAGGTGCCCTTTAGAGAAAATGTTGACAAACACGGAAGAGTGACCTGACCCTTGCCATTCTGAATGGCTGCTGGGATTTATAGGATAATTTGCAGTAATATCTGGGAGCAACCAGGAAGCCAAGAGGCCGGAAACAAGGAGAGGTGATGATCACCACTCTCTCTAGCCCTGCAGAAGTGCAGGACTTTCTAAAAGTGAAAAACTGGATCTCAGGGAATTTCTCCATTGAACCCCCAATATTAGGAAAGACCAGATATGAACTATAAATATTAGGTGCACATTTCTAAGTAATAAGGCAGGTTTATGTCTATTTTATTTTATAGGATTCTACCAGAAACCAGAGTTCTTTTGATGAGCATACACACACACAGACTTGTGAGGGCAAATAGCATTACATTTACATTCATGTATATGTTCTTAGTATTGTACAAACTTCACCCTCCTTGAGTATTTTTCATAGTACCTGGGATGATTATACTTATCCACAAATCTGTCCCAGATGTCACTTATCACTGCTGAGACCATCCATGGGACCAGGATCCCCCTCAAGTAGTGGTATAATAGGCTGTGCTGGGAATATCAACTCAGGTTGTGATCACCTTAAAAACACGAGTTTCCAGGAACATGGCAGTTTCCACCAATCCTGTGTAGTCCCCTACCGATGTGCCCAGAAGGCTTGTCAAGGAAGAGTAGCAGCCCCTGGATCTTCCTGAGGTACATTATCTAGGGTTATTTTTCTACAAAGTTGCCTGGGTCTCCAAGCAAGTGCTATTGATCTAGAGACCTTAGCACCACAACTCTTTAAATCCTCTCTCTCACACGGGTGCTCACACCCTTCCTCATACAGTTTCATTCACATAGCCAGTGTCCCCATGTCACATCCAGACCAAAGTGTGGGATTGCAATGGTTTGGAGCATCAACTACTGCACACTGTGCCCAGAACTAGCACCAGTCTTCATATCCCCAGTTCTTGGACTTTGCATTGGCTATAACTTGTTCTTTCAGTTCTTCTTCCTTTGTGATGGACTTCCTACCAGGGGCTTGGCTGGTCTCAGGTAGGGTCAGTTCCAGCTATAAAATATATTTTATGTCCTTGACCTTGGAACAGGTCACAGTTTGAGTCCCTTTTTTTTCCAACACCAAAGGTCCCTTGGCCTCTGTCTAAATTATAGGTTAATTAAAGGTATATAAATTTAGATCCTTAGATTTCTCAACACTTTTGCTTCCCTCAATAGACTACCTCACATGCCTAAATAAAGTCTTTTATTTATTTGGTTGTAAAATAAAATTACATTTGTAATTTTGACAATGGGTTATGAAAAATCTTAATTGCTTTCTGTAGATTTAGCTACATGTTACAAATATACAGTAGTCATTTTTCTTATTTGTAAAATAGGGATACTGAACTAGATAGCAATTTCCCCACTTTTTATAGCAGCAAAAATTTATTTTGGGGTGATAAAATCTTAAATGATACCTTAATAGGTAAAAATGACATTTAAATAATATGGAATTAACTTTCATTAACAGAAAATTTGACTCGAGTTATAAATGACATTTATAAATATATTTAATGAAGCATATACTTTGTTTTTAGTATCTTGTTTTCATTGTAAATAATATTTTTAAGTTTGTATTTAACAGGCACATTGTGAGCAGGTTGAGATCTGTTAACATGCTTGATTTTTAACTGCTTGACTTGCAAGCTCATGATATGTATCATTGAAGGGAAGACAGAAAAGTTATCTGCTGAGCTATTCTTCAAAATGAATGCAGAAGATGATGCAGGCTGAGCTATTCTTCAGTGAGTGCAACAGGAGATTCAAGTTACTGCTTCTGTGGTCTTTGTCATGTCATCATTTGAGAGCAATGTTTTCAAAAGAGTTTTAGGTATTTAAAAGAATGGAACTGGACTCAGGAACCTCTGTTAGTTCTACACTTCCAACCACAACTTGATAACACTGCTACTGTTGTACCAGATATTCTGGTCTGTTCTAAATCCATGTATCTATACATACCTACGTATGTACACATAAGGTTTAAAAAGAGAAGGAGGCTCCTGGAAACACAATCTTCCTGAGATAAATTTTTTCTTAAAGATTCTTGATATTTAATTTTACTTGCATGACATCAGCACAGGTTGCTTGCTCAGACTATTTATTTCTTTGTTCACATAACCCATGGATAGTATTTCTATACCAGCTATTCTTATTGGCTATAATGAGTGACAGTTAATTTCTGGCTATTGTAGAAACAATAAATGAACCACAGTTTCCAAGGTTCTCTACATCATTTTTTAGGAAAATTTTTACATTGTATATGGACATAACCTAATATATTAGAATGAAAAGCTCATTAATTCTTTAGAAAAAGTGATTATATACATTTTAGTCTGGGAAAATAAAAGTATGTAATTACTACTAGGATTTCCTCACCTCTTTAAATTATTTCATTAATCGTTTGAATTATGGTACTGGAATTTTAAAAACAAAATTTTTCTTAATTCATGTTTATGTTATAGCATTTTTGTTTAAATTATTTTCTTAAAGTCTGTTACCTTAAAACCTAAGTATATAAATATTTGAGTTAATTTTAGAATTAAATTGTTTAAGTAAACCAAAATAATGTAATAAGTGTTCATTGTGATCATCACCAACTATTTAGCTATAACATTTTGGTTAATTTTGCTTGAATTTTGTGGGTCTTGAACATATGAATATTCTAGAGATTAGAAAGTTACTAAAATCTAACATAATGTTGATTAATAATATGGAAGGATTTTAACTCTTTGTTCATAGAAATATTTGATTAAATAACAGGAAAATAAATGAATGAAAGTGATTGTGATTAATAATGTACAACATTCTTCTAGGATGGATATTCTTTCTGCACTAAGTGGTACATAGTGCAATTGTCCTGTTCCATATCTAATGCCTTATTTGTATTCCAAGATTTCTATTGATTTTTCTCTGTGTCATATGTATACTTTGTAGTCATCTTTACTCTTGGAAAATACCACCTTATGTAACATTGAAACAAATCTATTTTTTTAAGGAAGAAATAAGAAGATATCAACTGACTGAAAAGATGTTTTCAGAGGCCTAGAGTCTTCAGGGAGACACTGGAGTTCATGAGATCTCAAGGTCAGCAGTTCGTACATTATTATTTACATTATTATTTTCATGCTTTTTCAGATCTGAGTTATGACTTTGTAACTATTCCAAGTTTGTATTGCTAATGTCTAATTATATAATAAGGAGAATGCTCTTATTTAAAATACATATTTACCAAAATTTCCTCAAGATTAAAAAAATTTCATTATACTATAAATGTATTATTTGGTTCAATTGGGGATGGTTAAAAGAAAATATTTTAGTAGAGAACCAAATTACAATTTGCTTCACCTTTTAAAAGAGTAGCACTTTTTACATAACAAGAAATTAATATTAGACATCCCTATAAAACTTTATTATTATTTGTTAAGAAATGTGGACCTATTTAGCAGATTTCTTCCTTTATTTTCTTTGGCTATAATATGCACACATATACACACATAGTTTAGAAAAATAGCTAATCTTCAATCCTAAAATACTTTGGGAAAGTCAGATTTTGTGACTTTCCCCAGTCTGACTTTGGGAAAGTCAGATTTTGTGACTTTCCCCAGTACAGTAACAGAAATTCTGATTTTGTTAAAAATGCTCCTCCAATAAGATGACAATATAAATGAACAAAAGAATAATTAAGGATCTTTTTTAAGTTGTTTGCAGTCATAAGTCTAAAAAAAACTAAAATAAGCCTACTGTTATTAAACAGCTCATTAAAATAATACACTAATGTAAAATATTCATTTGAGGTTTGAATTACAATTTAGGTTAAAATGGTTCAGTCTAATGGGATGGCTTAAGAAAGTGGATAATTTCTGACTTCTTTATATTGTGGGACCCAATATCAAAATATTCATAATTTCAAATGAAAAAATACTGATGACCTTTTATTTTGATTGCATTATTCATGCTTCTCTTCCATGTCTGAATCTTTTTGTCACTGATCCAAGGATGTATTCATTCACATTTGCCTGGAACATACCATATGCCAGGCAATGGGCTGACTGCTTTGGGTGTTTCAAATGAGCAAGAGATGTTTCCTGTTCTTAAGAACCGTCCAACCATATGTTACTCAGATATTAAGTTTATTATTAACACAAGACATACCTAACTAAAAGGGCAAGCTAGATTTGAAAGGGCATGGAATGAATTCTAAAGCCCAATGGGAATGATTTGGGGATTATTCACTTTTTATATTATGGCTTTTATTAGCCTAGAATGTTGAGAGTTTATACCAACGGAGTGTTGCTCCATCACAACCCACAACTGACCTTTACAACTGACCTTTTATTAAAGTAGCTCTTCAAGTACAATGCAAGTAAGTAATATGAGATTCTAAGAAGGAAAAGTTTCTTTTTTGCTAGAACTGCAAATTTAATGTTGTAGAAAATACTTATACAAACACCTATGAAAAGAACGAAAGTGAGCATTGCTTAGTTTTTTTCTTATTCTAGTACATTCAACTTATTTATTAAGTTCACCAGAGAGTTAAATTATTTCTCCAATGACTTAAAAGGACATATAAATTTGAAAGGGATTGAATGCTGTAAGCACCTACGGAATCCACATGCACACAGCTGAGTGAGTAAAGAGCTTTGCAGTAGAGTAGGAATCCAGACTCTACTTGGAATTACCCAGTACTGTGGTTCTTGTGAAAAGCTTTTAAAAGGTGATATCTTAAGAAGTTAAAACAAGTAATTAAAATAACAAAATTATTTTTGAAAAGTCAGTGAAGACACCCTTTATTTAAATTGTGCCATCAGGCAAGTGGTTAAATTAATTTATATAACCACAATGATTCAACAAGTATTTATCAAGTGCTTAGTATGTACATGGGAGCAACACCATTGAATAAAATATTCCAATATCCTTCCCTTAGAGAAAATGACATTCTAAGGGGTAGAAACACATAGGAATGAAAACCCCAAAGTTAATTACACATTATGTTAGATGGTGATACTGCTATAAAGAAACAGAAAACAGAAAAGGAAATATAGAACCTAAGGAGGGGTGGAGTTTTAAAATAAGCCTAATGACTTAGGCTTATTTTATACTACATAATTTGCACTAAAGAAATAGATATTACTTTAGCCCACATAGTCCCAATTAAAAACAAGAATGATGAAATATAATACCTATTGTTCCATTTTCTACATCATTTGTTAAGGTGAATGTTGTTAACTTATGTAAAATAATAACTAGTGTGAGTTTTTCTCAATTCCACCATAAAGACACTTTTTAAATGGTAATATATTTACTACGTGTACATGAAATATTGTAAAAATAATTGTGATAGAGAAACATACAGTTGAATGTGGATTATTAGTCTATTCACTTACTAAAGGGATAAAGACTATAGCTATTCACCTATATATGGAGAGGAGGAATCAATTCATTTTTTACATTGAATATTATAAACTTAAAGACCACTGACAATGCATATAGATGATACATGGTGCCAGAAGTGCGCGTGTGTGTATAGTTATTTTATCATCAGTCATCATTTTAAGAGAACACGGAGCATTAAGATTGAAGATAAGAGAATTAATTAAATACTACCTTATTTGCATGGTACACTATTTTTTAAAGGACATATGTCTTCCCTTGCATACTTGATTTACTAGAAGGTGTATGGAGATCTGGAAGTTAAAATAACTCATCTGGTCTGTGGTCATCAACAAATGAATTATCAGGTTTCTTTTGATGATAATCTGGTTGGAATTTTTCTGGGAAGCATTAGCTGCCGAGCACAGAAGTTTGGAGGTGTTTATAACCCAGACTACCCTGCTAATTTTTTGCAACCTATCTAGACTATAGATGAACTCAGCACATAAATATTCTTTCGGTCATAGCTTTGCTTTCCACTTTTATTTATTTTTTAAATATATTTTATTGATTATGCTATTACAGTTATCTCAATTTTTCCCCTTTGCCCCCTTCACCCAGTACCCTCTGTTCCCTCTGCCAGTCTCCCCTTAGTTCATGGCCATGGATTGTGCATGTATGTTCTTTGGCTTCTCCATTTTCCATGCTGTTCTTAACCTCCCCCTGTCTATTTTGTACCTACCAATATGTACTTCTTAATCCCTACACCTTTTCTCCCATTCTCCCCCTTTACACTCCCTATTGGTAGACCTCCAAATGATCTACATATCTATGATTCTGTTTCTGTTCTGCTTGTTCACTTAGTTTGTTTTTTAGATTCAACGGTTGATTGAACATAGTTATGAGTTTATTGCCATTTTATTGTTCATAGCTTTGATCTTCTTTTCCTTAAACAAGTCCCTTTAACATTTCATGAAATAATGGCTTGGGAATGATGAACTCATTTAGCTTTACCTTTTCTGAGATGATAGCTTTGCTGGATAGAGTAATCTAGGATATAGGTCCTTGTTTTTCCTCACTTTGAATACTTTTTGCAAGTCCATTTTAGCCTGCAAAATTTCTTTTGAGAAATCAGCTGATCGTCTAATAGGAACTCCTTTGTAGGTAACTCTCTGCTTTTTTCTTGCTGCTTTTAAGATCATCTCTATCTTTAACCTTTGGTATTTTAATTACGATGTATTTTGTATGGTCCTCTTTGCATCCTTCTTGTTTGGGACTTACTGTGCTTTCTGGACTTGTATTTCTATTTTCTTCACTAAATTAGGGAAGTTTTCTTTCATTTTTTTCAGATAAGTTTTCACTTTCTTGCTCTTTCTCTTCTTCTTCCAGCACCCCTATAATTCAAACGTTGGTACATTGGAGGTTGTCCCAGAGGATCCTTACCTTATCCTCATTTTTTAAATTCTTTTTTCATTTTGCTGTTCTGATTGAATGTTTTTTTTTTCTTCCTTGTTCCAAGTTGTTGCTTAGATTCTCAGCTTCATCCACTTCACTGTTGATTCCTCATAAGGTTTTCTTTATTTCACTTAAGGTAACCTTTATTTATGCCTGGCTCTATTTTATGCTGTCGAAGTACTCAATGAGTTTCTTAAGCAACCTAATAACCAGTGTTTTGAACTCTGCATCTGATTGATTGTTTATCTCCATTTGGTTTACTTCCTTTTCTGGAGTTTTGTTCTGTTCTTTCATCTAAGCCATATTTCTTTGTCTTCTCATTTTGGCAGCCTCCCTGTGTTTGTTTCTATGTATTAAGTAGCGTTGCCTTGAATCTGTCTTAGTAGCATGGCCTAACGTAGAAAAGCACACCTAATGGAGAAGAGCCTTAGGTAATTGCTGGGGCATGGCAACCCGTGTGAACTAGGTTGATGGAGTTTCAGATACGGTGTTGCCACTTTGTGGCTGTATGTTGGACAGGGCTCAGAAAAGGGACAATGTCCACTGTCTGGCCTCTGGATTTTTATCTGGGAGGAAACTGTCTCTCGGCATTTACCCTAATGCCACACTCTTTAAGTTCTCCCCATATGCTACTGGTGCCCTTCAAGCTGCTGCCCTGGTGTTAGAGCCCACCAGAGCCAGTCTGTATGAGTCCAAAATCCACAGAGTACTCTTTAAGAGGAGACACCTGAGAATCCTGCAATTTCTTCTACCATCCCAACCCCAGTTTATTTTTATAGCCAGAAGTCATGGGGAGTTATCTTCCCAGCACTGGAACCTTGGGCTGGGTGGTCAGGTATGAGGCTGGAATCCCTTACTACCAAGATATCTTCCAAGTTTTATTTACTATATGTAAGTGTGGGACCACCCATTCCATATTTCTGTGTCTCCACCTGCTCCTACCCATCTGAATGAATGTTACTTCTTTAATTCCCTGGTTTTCAAATTTCCATACGACTCGATTTTCTAACAATTCTTGGTGATAGATGTTTTGTAGTTTAGTTGTAATTTTTGCTGTGGTCGTGTGAGGAGGTGAGCCATGTTTACCTACACACTCATCTTGACAGGAAGTCTCCCACCACGTAAGTTAATATTACCTTAAAACTCACTTAGTCTTGACTTTACTGGATAGAATTGAACAATTTAGCTGATTTGGTAACAGAAAAATTTGCTAACTCAGTTATCTTTCATTGTTAATAAGTCAATATGACAGAACTATC